TCAACAGGCACCAGCCCTCAAATCAGCTCCAACATCAGCGTGAGACCCTTCCGTCAAGTTTCACCAGTGTCTGGTAGCAAACACAATGTCCCAGCAGCCTGTCTCACCAGAATGAGCTACTCCAACCAAGGCTGGAAAACTTTTCCCTCCTTGACAGCACTTGCTGTACGCTTTGAAAACTTGCACCCTCTCCTTGCTGAAGCCAAATAGGCATTTTCACAGAATCCCAGAATGATCTCGGCTGGAAAAGCCCTTGAAGCTCCTCCAGTCCAACCATGACCCTCACCCTGACCGTTCCCAACTCCCCCAGATCCCTCAGCGCTGGCTCAGCCCGACTCTTCAACCCCTCCAGGGATCCCGGGGACTCCCCCCTGCCCTGGGCAGCCCATTCCAATGCCCAACAGCCCCTTCTGCACAGAAATCCTTCCTCAGAGCCAGCCTGACCCTGCCCTGGGCAGCTTGAGGCCATTCCCTCGGGGCCTGGCACTGGCTCCTTGGCTCCAGAGACTCATCCCCCCTCTCTGCCCCCTCCTGGCAGGGAGTTGCAGAGGGCCAGGAGGTCTCCCCTCAGCTTCCTCTTCTCCAGACTAAACCCCCCCAGTTCCCCCAGCCGCTCCCCAGCAGACCTGTGCTCCAGACCCTGCCCCAGCTCCGTTGCCCTTCTCTGGCCACGCTCGAGTCATTCAATGGCCTTTGTGGGGTGAGGGGCCAAAGGGGGTTTTGTTCATTAATGAAGGATTTACATACACTTGCTCTGAACAGCTCTAATACAATTAACAAAGTAGATCTCTCACATCTTGGGCCTCTGCTTATCCTAGGACAAATGTGGGCCTTCCCTCCCTGCAAGAGGCATCATCTGTACAGACTCATTAAACCCCAACCCCAAATTGCTTCTTTTAAAAAAAATACCTCTTACTTTGCAGGCGATAAAGCCAGCAGCTGCGACTCCTCCTTCACGTCATTCCCTGGAGCCAGTGGGGAGGGCAGGGTAGATGCACGCATCTGGCTGCAGGTTTTTAATCTCGAGCCGTCCCTCTCAGGATCCTTTCCATCTCGCAAGGTGGCTGCAATAAAAATCTTGACGTGGGTGCTGTTGCGGACAGTACAGCTCACCAGGTACCAATTGCTCATTTTGGGACCTACGTTTCTGTGCTGCATCTGGCTGGTGGATGCAAGACAGCAGCTAGGCTGTACCTGGTGTTTGACAGGGGTGAAAATGGCCAAATATTGCTGCTCTGCTTGCCATGAGTCTCACCAACTCCTCTGTCCTGGCCCCTCTGGGATGGCTGTTGGCAACTGAGGTCCATGAGCAAACACTCTGCCCTCCTCCGAAGGGCAGGCAGCAAATGGTGAGTCCTTCTCTAGTAATGCCAGAGAAGCGGGCAGGACCCAGCTACTGCATCACTAACACTGCTAAACTGTTAATTACAGGTTGCTGTTATCACAGGCAGCCTACCCCTGAGTTCTGGATGAGATCTGAGTTATGCATACTTACAGAGTAAGCATTTATTGCTTACTGTTGTTATTAAATCCCTTGAGTTAATAAGCAAGAAATGCATTAAGATTTTTTTTTTAAAAAATAAGTTCTGGATGAGAAAAGTGACCTAGAAAATCCAATTGTCCTCTGAATGGCAATTGCACTAAGTCTGGAAACTAAATTCGCTAATTAACTGAAACAGTAGGTTTTAGTGGTGCTTGAAGTGCTAATTTCAACTCCTCTTTAAACCATGAATCTCCAGCAAGTCTCTCAGTAGTAACAATAAGTTTTGCATACAGATGCCAGGCACTGGGTGTCTGCAAAGCACTTCAGCCCTTCTAACAGCACCTTTCCATATGGTCTCAGGAAGCTTCTCCTGCCTCCAGCTGCAGCAAGAGGACCTAAATCACACCTTGCCTTCACCAGCCGTTCCGCGGGCGGCTTTCACGGCCAGTTCCTCCCGGCTGAAAACCTGTCCCCAGCTTTTGCTGGCAGCAGAGGTTTGGTGGAAAGGGGAAAACTTTCATCTCCTCCTTTCAGTGGCCTTCTCACAGCCCTTAACCACTTACCGGCTCCAGTCTGGAAGGACGAGGCTCCCTATTTCTTCTGAACGCTTCGGCACACACATGCTCTGGGCAGCTCAATCAATTCCCCAAGTCTAACTGTGCAGCAGAGAATATTTGCCATTAAAACCACCGGTCTTAGTGTTTCTGTATGCTAGCAGACAGGAAAGAAAGGTAAAATGCTGGAAAGTATTACCTTAGCTCCTGGCTCGTGCATTTAAGCAATGAGCAAAGGGATGTGGCATCACTTTCTGGCCAAGGTGTTTCCAGGAGGAGATCCCAGACCATGAGAAAAGTAAAATCAGTGCTGGAGCAGCACATCCACATCGCCACCGTCTCCCTGGGGACCAACAGCACAGACAGACCGTAGGAGCTTCATGAGGAATCAAATGGTTCTCCGTGAAATAACACTACAGCAGCAGGAGAACAGCATCCGTCGGGTCTGTGTGTAATAACGAGGTCCCTGGTAATTAAACCCAGCCAGGGACACGTCGTAACCCACCTTGGAGAGGCCGGGATCCCAACGGAGCGGGATGCCACAGCTCTGTATCTCCCCTTATCCCAGGGTCACCCGTGTCTGCCTGCAGCATACCACCAGTGCGGGCAGCAATGGGCTTGGGTAGGCAGTGCAGGCTTCCCTGATTAATAAACATATGCCTAGTTAATGAGTTTAATTGCCTTCCAGCTTCAGTGGGAAAGAGCACTTTGGGTTAAAGGCTTGCTGTAGAAGATATGAATTCCACACACAGGCTAACTGGGAACTGCTCTACAAATGCAATTACAGCCACAACATCTCATTCTTTCTACTCTATTGACCCAAGAAACATTATTTCTATCTTAAATACAGGGCACCTCTATCACCCAACTAGATGACAGGTAATTTTGTGTGCCCTGTTCAAAGACACCCTTGTGCATTTGCTTTAGGCTCAGAGCACCATCCCGCTAAGCTTGTGAAAACACACAGCCAAGATTATCCGTACTTGTTCTTATTTGTCTTTATTCAAGGAAAGAAGAAATGTCACCACTACAGACCTAATTTTAAGTAGCAAAAGTCTCAGCGAGAAAAGGATTCAGCATTACCAAGATAGCACTGGGGCAAGAAAAAAAAGGCAAAAAATAACATTAGTTGATCAAAAGGGGAAAGAGATTTTTTTTCCCCCTTTCTTTTCAATCAAAGCGCAGTACAATGGGTTATAACCTGTGCACTAGGCTTCCCGTTAATGGCAGCTACTCTATAACAAGTTGACCGAATGACTCTGCTCCGAGTCCCATGAGGATTATTAATAACCAGAGCACGCCACCTCCACGGAGCACATTGAAAGCTCTCACTCCAGCTCTAGTTAAAGGCGACCCTCCCCACCAGATCCTGGAGGAACCACGGCTCCTGAATGCCCGCCTGCTTTACAACCCCAATAATAGTCCTCTGGAGGGGGGGTACCAAAACCCAAAGCCCAAAATGCTGCAGTTTCCTTGGTTTCTTTGCTCCTTAAGGTCCTTTTCTTGACAGTCTCCAACAGCACGAGACATTGGTCACCTTGCAGCCGTACTCCGAAAGGAATAGATAAAATAAAATAAAATAAAATATGCAGTGCTCATTCTTCCAGGGATCTCCCATGGGGCTGAGAATTGCAACTGCTTTGAGCTAGGGAGAATTTTTCTTTCCTCCTAAAACTTGCTTGAATTTTTGGAGTTATGCAGAGCAGCAGTGATGTGTTTAAGACTCAGCTTCTTGCTTAAGTTGAGACTAAACTGCCTTCTTGCATGTCTTAGGGGAGTACAGCAAAGGTATTAAAAGATAATAACAACGCTGTTTGTGCTCCCCACTTCACCCAGCCCAGCCCTCAGCAAAGGACATGGCACAAGCATTTTAAATGCTGATGATGAGCTTTGTTGTTCCATTAATCCTGCTTAATGATGTCTTTTAAATTTTGATCTTTGGTCTCCCCTTGCTATTCTGCTGCAAACCAAATGAAGGGCCTAAGGGAAAAAAAACAAACAAATGCCCCTCGACACCACGTGCGAAGCAGACACCCAGAACTGAAAGGTTTTGTTTGGAAGCGACCAGCTCCAGGAAGGGAATAAAGCTGTTGGAAAAAAAAATCCATACTCAGGCTGAGATCACTGCACAGCCCGGCTGTCAGAGACCTGCCAAGAGTATCCGTACACCCAACCCAGACCAGCTGAAGCCATCATCTTGCTTCAGGTGTCTCCCTCCAAGCCGAGTCCTGCCCAGCAGACTCCCCACAATCCATTACAGACAGGCTGCCTCGCCTCTCTAACTCATCCTCTCAACTTCTGATGAAAAACAAGTAGGAAGGCAGCCAGTGCTAACAGGGCAACCTCCATCCTTTCCATCCACTGGCCACCCACCTCTTTCTCCAGGCAGACTTGGCCACATTAAGTCACAAGCAGTCCCGTCTCTCCGATATGCCATCCACCCCCCAAAACCATTTTGAAGCCAGACATCACCTTAACCACATCTTCAATTTCAAGGCATTGTATTCAAGAGATCCATTGAGGTGGTTTGTTGAAGTACTTTATTGGTGATCATGTATACTCTCTGCACATTAAGCTTTGTACAAAAATCCTCTCCATTAACACCAGAGTGAGCAACAGCCACCAGGAGCTTTGAACACTGGTTTGGCTCCCTTCTGTGAAAGCAAAAACAAGGTTAACAAAAATAGCCAAATTGGCCACACTGGTTGGTCTCAACCAGCAAACCAGTCCTGCAGTTCGCAGCCCAAAAAATTAAAAACTCCCTCCCAGATGAGCCCGGTTTGCTCTTGCAAAGGGACACACAGGAAAGGTTTTGCATCTGCCACGCTCCGCCTTCAGGGTCCTGCCTCCCACTTCTGATGCTCAGTCATCAAGTGCCACTGTAGTTTATCAAAGACTAATTAAAAACCTTATCTCAAGAGCTCTAAACCAGCGGGGAAGATGTTTCCGTGCCCGCCATGGCCTCATTTGTCATCCGAGCCGCCCTCTGGCAGCAGGGCACCGCTGGAGCTCTTGTTGCCTTTGCGGATGCACATGCCACAGTCCAACTCCACGTCGATGTCCCCGAATTTCAGCTGGCAGGATTCGTTGCAGCTGCGGGAGGGACAGTGACACTGGTCAGGAGTTTGTGGGTAGCAAGAGCCATCGGCTCACCCCAGCCTGCTCAGGACCATCCGCTCTGCGGCGGCACCGGGCCCATCCTTCCCAGCCAAGACATGGACTAGTCAATGCTTGAACATACATGACCCCCATTTTCTCACCCTGTGCTACACTGGCGGCTGGATTTCCCAGGGTAGCACTGGGTCTAGGTATTGCTCTTGGCCATCCCGGCTTGTGCACGGTGCCGGGACCCCCCCAGGACCCCTCTCCCCGATGTACCAGCGAGATGCAGCAGAGTTTGCTGCCAAGATGGCAAGCACGCCCGCGTAGTGCCAGCAGAAGCACATGGTGAGGAACGTGAAGTTGCTGTGGTCGGTCTGATCCCAGCCCGGTCCTCCCCACGGAGGGGACAGCACAAACCCAATCTGGTGGCAGACAGAAGAGATGGGAGGCATCAGCATGGCTCAGGCTTTAGCACATCCCTCCTCACTTCTCCTCCTGTTCTTAGCCAAGCTGTTGCAGCTGACTACAGATTAGAGGCACAATAATCCCAAGTAACACCCAGACCACTGCCCTCTGCACCCCCAAGCATGCTTGTCTCCCCAGACTGACACAGGGGAGTGCTTCAGGAAGGGAGGGATGCTCTGTGGACAAGCTTAGGGCTCCCAGTGCAGCCCAGCATCCCCAGAGAAACACAACCACCCAAAGGCTGCATCACCACACTCCGCATTTCTCCCCAAACCCCAAGCTGGGCAATTATGTGAGAGGTTTCCAGATATTTGCAGTCACTTGGAACAAACAGAGGAAGAAATTGGACCTAATAAAAAGGACAAAACCTCATGGATTGTGGTTTCCCACCCCTGTGAGGCTGGATTTCCATTTAGCATGCAAGTTTGTCCATGCTGCACACATGCCTATCTCCACAGTGACAGCTCTGGCACTAAGCCTCATTTCCTCTTCATATATACTAAGATATTCCAACCAGCCTACAAGTCTAACCCCAACAGATGTGCCATGAAGGGTAGAGCAGCCGCCCTCCACTTGCCTTCCTGTGTGCGAGGCCCACTGCTCAGATGCTGGATACGCACTGACCTGCCAAAGCCAAGAGCCCTGCAGAAGGAAGGAGCTGGTCCTGAAAGTCTCCAGGATGACGTGGTCACGGACAAACACCTCGAGGAGGGCAGAGAGAGCTCCAGCAAAGATTGCCACGGCCAGCAGGGAATGGAGGTGGTGGTCCAGCACAGCATCACTGTAGTCATGGAAACAGAAGAGCAAACCTGCCAAGATTCACACCGCATTAGAACAGGATGCTTCTGGGATTTGTTTTTTAAAAACACATCTGAAAACTGAGATTTATGCTCCAGGTCTTGCTATGCTCTGCCTGGTGGGAAGAGCCAGACAGCAACCTGCTGTCATCACCTTGGCTCTGCAGCTCCCAGTGCTGGGTGTGCTCTGCCCACAGAGGAGCCCCCATCGCTGCGGGGACCACCCACCCCAGTCAGGGCTGTCAAGAGGAGCACAACGAGGGGGCCCTTCAGCTCAAAAGGTGGCAGGGAGCTTTGTGCCAGGGTTTGTCCCTCTGTGCATCTGACCAAGGTGGGGGGACAACACCTTTTTGGGACTGCAGAGAACACCAGCTGCTTGTCACCAGGAGAAGCACCTCCCTAGGGCCTCCTCACCCCAAAAAGGCCATTGAATGACTCGAGCGTGGCCAGAGAAGGGCAATGGAGCTGGGGCAGGGTCTGGAGCACAGGTCTGCTGGGGAGCGGCTGGGGGAACTGGGGGGGTTCAGTCTGGAGAAGAGGAGGCTGAGGGGAGACCTCCTGGCCCTCTGCAACTCCCTGCCAGGAGGGGGCAGAGAGGGGGGATGAGTCTCTGGAGCCAAGGAGCCAGCGCCAGGCCCCGAGGGAATGGCCTCAAGCTGCCCAGGGCAGGGTCAGGCTGGCTCTGAGGAAGGATTTCTGTGCAGAAGGGGCTGTTGGGCGTTGGGATGGGCTGCCCAGGGCAGGGGGGGAGTCCCCGGGGGGGTTGAAGAGTCGGGCTGAGCCAGCGCTGAGGGATCTGGGGGAGTTGGGAACGGTCAGGGGGAGGGTCATGGTTGGACTGGAGGAGCTTCAAGGGCTTTTCCAACCTGGATGATTCTGTCATCCTCTGTGCACACGGAGCATCCAGCCAGAGTCAGATTCATATTTGAGAGGAACAAGGAGGGGGTGACTGCGGCACGTGGCCTGTGTCATTGTGCATCTGCATGCCCTCCAGCTCTGGCTGCTTGTGCAGCACCTCGCCAGGCCCAGGGATTTTGGGCTGCCACACATCGGTGACCCTCCCAGCACCTCCCCTGACCCACGCTCCCAGGCACCGCGTGCGATTCACCTTCGATGAACAGCGCCACAGACAGCGAGAGCCGATCTAAGCCAAGCGGCAGCTTGAGCGGGGAGTGTGAGACGACGTCCACGATCCCCGAGAGGAGGAAGAAGAAGTAGATGGTGGTGTAGTGCCAGTGGGTGAGGTCTGTCCAGCTGTGCGTCTCGGGGCTGTACAGCTGCAGGTGGGGACCAGCAGGAACAAACTGCTCGACCAATATCCCTGGGCAGAGAGTGGAAAGGTCACAGTTTCCTTTTATACAGGGGAAAGGACTACAGTTGCAAGGAAAAGCTTCCTGCAAGCTTAAGTCGTAGTGGTATTTGCCCAGAGGAATGGTAGCAAGATCTCATTACAGAGGGTGCCACAAGCATGTCCCCAAGCCCTCCCACACCAGCCGCAGCTGTTTCCCCACTACAAACAGCCCCAGTTTCCTGGGGGAGAGCAGACACAGTGCCAGTAGATACTGGGGCAGAGGCTCATCATCATCATCTCTTACCTGCTAGAGCAAAGAAAGCTTTGACCGCCCCTTCAAAGAATTCCACGCGCTGGATCCCATGGCTTGGCTGGCTCTCAGCAGTGGCTTTCCGCCTGAGATACTTCAGGGGGTATCGTATGGACCACCAGAGACCAAAAATGAAGAAGAAGGTGCCCCGGAGGGCACTGCCAAGGAAACTCGTTGGCATCAGGCTCGCTTGCTGGACCTGCAAGGACAAACGGTGCCTGGGGACCAACCCAAAGTATCCCCAAGAGGGATGTCGGGATGCTCAGCACCCCCAAACATCCTCATCCAGACAGAACGGGAGTGCACAGATTCACTATTAGCTGCAAACAGATGTGACATCACCTCAGAGAAGCTGCCATTGTGCACGACTGTATATATGTGTACACACAGACACATGTGGATGTACCCACGCAATCATCAGGACTTCATCGTGCCAGAGAAAAATCCATTAGCACACAAGAAAGCGTAACAGCTACATGCTATTAAAGAGGAACCATAACAAACTTTTTGCTAATAAAAAGTGACATGACAATTATTTCCTCGGAACATAAACTCCCTCCAAACTCGGTAATTACTAGGGCGTGAATCCAGCCAGCGCGTTCAGCAGCTCCAGCCAGCCAAGGCTCTGCTGGGCCCTACAACAATAGGAGGAGGCAACCCAGGAACCATTACCATTTCCAAAAGGAGTCTCATGCATATTCCACACAACCTTCCTGTCACACACAAGCGGTGATTTCACACAAGGGAAAGAGATTTCATCTTCAGCAGGAAGAGCTCGAAGACCAGAGGCGTGAAAATTGCCTTTGCGCTAAGCCAGACCAGCGTCACTGAGTGCCAGCAAGGATGGAGAGGAGCAGAGGTATGGCAGTGTGGCCAGGCAAAGTTATATCCTGCAAAGTATTTAAGCCCATACTCAAAGTATTGAAAAGAATCCCCAGAGCAGCAAGCACAGAAGGGAGTAAGTAATCATCTAAAAGCTCATAGCGGTCAGCTTTTGATGTTACCTTGGGATGGCCTTGTTTCCTCCAGCAAGACCCCTCTCCTTGCTCTCTGAATGCATCTACCACCTAAGGAGGTCTCACTCTTTCCCTCCTCAGGGGCTTCCTGGTCCTTTTCCACAGCTCAGATGTGCGCGGAAAAAGGCATTACTCATCCTGAAGCTACCACACTGACTTGCCCTTGCATCACAAATCACATCCTCGCTGTGTTTATAAATACCAAAGCAAATTGCAGAGGCTGGATGAACAACTCCAGCACGTTCTCCAAGTCCTCCCACACTAGAAAGTAATTAGGTGCTGCAAAATATGGGTAGGATGTGGCGTGGCAAGTGCCTTAGGTGAGGGAGAGCTCTGCAAGCTGTCCCTGGTCGGGTTTTGGCTGAAGAGCTGGTCGGTCGAACCGGCTCAGCCCCGCGTGGGCAAGCACGGGGTTTGGATGTAAGGACTATCGTCACCCATTGCATCCCCGGGACACAGGTAACCTGGGGAAGGCCCAAAGCTGTTTACATGGTGTAAAGGTTTCCTTTCAGGAGGGAAGTTACTAAACAGCCTTTCAGGCAGGTGAGAATCGCCCCATCCCAGGAGCGGGCCTGGGGCTCGGTGGTGGCTTTCTGCTCTAGTGTGGATGCCGACGCTCGGGTGGATGGGCTCACGGCCCATGGCTTCCCTGATGACAGCCTGGACTCCCAGTCCAGGGCATGTATCTTCCCTGCACCGGCATCCACACGCTGAAGTGACTAAGAACAAACCCTATCAAAGCACATTTAAGTAGCACACAATTGCACGATATGTAACCAAATTTTACCATTGTCCTACAGGGACTGGGACTGCAAGGGCAACAGCCTGAAGCTGGAGTCAGGAGCATACCCTGATTAAGATATGTAGCAGGAACGTTAATTTGACGTGCTTAATTGGAGGAAAGGAGGAGAGCAAAGACATCTCAGTGCCCAGACATCAGACATGACAACAGACATGTCTCACCTGCTGCATTGAGGCTACTCCAAGCCACACGAGCATCCAGCTTTAACCCAGGGGTTCATCACATCCTCCAGGCATCCCCCCCTTGCCTTAGTTACCGGCAGACCCCAAACCACTCTGTTTCAGAGCTGTCCCTGGGATCTCCTACCCCGACTATCCGTCTCCTCAGCAGAGCAGCCTCACTCTTCTTTACTGTGCCAGGGACCCCTCTGCTTTGTAACCTCTCAGCAGCCCCATCCAGCAAAGCTTTTGGTAGTTGCCACAGGTCCCGTTTGCTTCCCACCACCCGGGCACAGCTCTTCAGCAGCCACCATGTATTCGTAGGCATCTCTTATTTAAGAAGGGTGCCCTAAACCCACCCTTTGGTCAAGCAGAAGATTGGATGTAGCCTCCACACACACATAAAAAAAAACCCCACCAAACCACAACAAAACCCCAACACCTTCTTTTATAAAACAGCCACTATTTTGCAGAGCAACCAGCCAGGTTTCCAAGCAACGGTCCCCTTGCACAGCTCACATATTTGAAGCACAGAAAAACAAGGCACCCCACATCCACACAGCCCCTCGACCCGCCCCCTAGCCCAAACCTGATACCTCTCACCCACCGGCTTCCCCCAGCCCCGGCATTTGAGTCCACAATCCCATAAAAGCTGATTAAGCTCCAAGTGAGCCGCAGCCAGGAAAAAGAGCACCGCTTGAGGAGAGGCACCCAGGTTATTTATTTTTCCTGTGAGCTAGTTTGTCTGTCAGAGGACTTGAAATACGGCTGCAGTCAGAAGTTATTACCTGAGCTGCCCTTCTCCCTGCACAGCTTCCAGGCTGAGATGCTTTTGCTTAACAGCCATACGGGAGCTGCCTGCTCTCCTCACGGTGCCTCGCACTGACTGCTCGCTCGGGAAGGATGGCATTTCTGCCCAATTTTCCAGCCACTGCAGCTCCAGGTCTGTCACCATCAATAATTTTGGCCTCATATGAGAACTCGCTCCAGCTAACATGGGGAAATTGATGCTGTCCATGCGGGCACAGGAGTATCCCCTACAAGCACCCATGGGTGCAACCATCCGCCTGGCAGGCAGCATCATTTGGAGGCTCTTCTCTTTGTGGATCCAGCCTTGCTGCCAGGCACATATCTCTTGTGCCAACAGCCCTCACTCAACAGAAGAGGCACAAACCCCCTATCCATCTACAAATAGGATGCACCTCCAACACCTGATAACCTCCCCCAAAAGACCTAAAGACATAGAAACCCAGCCATAGCCCACGATTACTAGGAGTCTATCTCCATCAGAACCACTTCCACCCACCTCACTGGTGGCTGTCATCACACTAAATCTTTGCCTTGCAGAGATGGACTCCCCATGTCCCTTCCTCCCAAGCTCAAGCAGCCATGTCCACCCCGTGGCACAGCTGCCCACCAACGTATTTCTCTCTACAGGTAGAAGATTTTACCTGCAACTCCTGCCTGTCCTTCTCCCTCTCCAGATGTGGCAGCGAGGAGCAGTTATTACTCAGAAGAGGCAGATAAAGAGAGAAGACACAATGGGGAGGTGGCCCTTAGACAGGATGTTTAGAGCTGAACATCCTGCGGGCCAGTTCAAAGCACGCTGAGTCAACCGGCTTTCACAACCTGGGACACCTCGTGTCTGCTATTAACAACAACAACAAAAAAAAAGTCTCCCGGAATTTGCCACAAAAAACAGGATGAGCAGCCAGTTCCCGTTCCCACGGCAACCACATATATTCAGTTATTGTGTTGGTTTTTTTGGATGACCGGAGAAGGAGCCAAGAAGAGACAAGGCTGCAGCATCACCTGATGTGGCCAGGCTCTGCTGGAAGGGCTCTGAAGTCTCTGAACTGGGCCACCGGATACATGATGACCCTTTTAGGGGGGTCTGGCCTTAAAAAAAGTGCCTATAGGCAGGAAATTTTGAGCCAGGAGCTCTCAAACCAGAGCAGAGCCCTTCTGAGCTCCATCTCCCCGTCCACAGCAGCTAAGAGGAAGGGGACAATGGCCCTCTCTCCCCCAAAAGATAGGTTGGCTGGACACAGCAGCCTGTTTCCATTTGTTTTTACCCATCCAGTGCTTGACACTGCTGATCACATCACGGATGGCCGCGCGCCCAGCCTTAGCACCTCACCGGCTGCAGAGATGAGCAACACAAGTGCCTCAAGGCAAATAAATACCACGAGCCACCCCAGCGTCCCCGTCTCTCTCCGAAGCACCGAGTTGATGGCGCAGCAACACTCAGCACCACCCAGGAGCACTGCCGGAGCCTCCAACCACGAGCACTAACAACCCCTCAGTGCCTCCCCGGCCCAGTATTTCTCTGGGTTGCAACCACACACGCGTGACTCCTCGTGCAACCGAAAAACCCCAAGCGAGGCCGCGGGATAAGCCATGCCCAGCCCCAAGGCTGGAACAGCACAGAAGCAAACCAGCCTGCGGAACCCTCCCCAGGGTGACGGGCTGCTCTCCAGCACAGCCATAAAAGCCACCAAGCCATAGCCAGGAGCTCTTTTATACCCATTATCTCCCTATCAGCAGTAGCAAGTAGGAGGAAGGAAGGAAAGGAGAAGCTGGTGGTGGTGCTGGCCCATTGCTGCTCACCTCCAACAGTGCTCGGGGAGCAAGATGTGTTGCAGAGGGCTGAGCACGGGCACAAAAGGGTCCTGTAACACCAGGGAAGCCCACAGCAGCAAAGGGACTTCCACAAACACAGGCAGCTTCGCCCAAGCGAAAGCTGCAGGAGCTTGTTGCCGTGTTAAACCCAGACACGGAGAGAGAAATGCAACCCCCATAGGAGCTCTACCTTACAGACCTACCTCTAAAAATAACAGAGCCAGAACAGCACACCTTTCTTGCTGCAAAAAGAGCAGCAGGACCGTCAGGGACCTCTTTGCAGCTTAGTTTTATTTTCTGCAACCACCCAGCCAGACAAACCCTTACTCCAAAGGGCAGCCGAGCACACAGCCACTTCCTAAGCAGGGTGACTCAAATCCTTGGAGAAAGTGGGAAAAAGTGAGCTGGGAGGGCAGCAGCTGGAGGGAGAGGGGAGGAAATGAGGCCCAGCTGAAACCTATCTGCTCAGAGGCTGAAAGTGCCTTTTTCCAGGGCCAGCAGGATGTAAAGCCCCTAGAGAAAGGTTTCTATGAAAAGGGCAGCTGGTATTAAAGTCAGACAGTGAAAAAAGTTGTAGGTGTATGAAATGGTTGAGGAAAGGAGG